ATTTTCTCTTTGCTCAAAAAACACCCTTTCGTACTTTCCTTTGGTACTTTCTAGTGGTGGTAAACTCTGTTTTCAACTGTCTGAAAGTGTCTTTTGGCTCTGAAAACATCATTTTGTTGTCTTCTGACATTACTTTTGCTGAGAAATCCCTTATCAGGCTTATTGTTGCTCCTTTGAAAGTAATCTATATTTTCCTCTGGCTACCTTTAAAATTGGTCTTTGTTTTTCAGCACTTTCACCATGAAGTAACTAAGTACGTATGATTTTTTTTTTTTGTAATTTATGCTGCTTGGAAGTCAGTAGCATTCCTTACATCTGGGGCTTCATGTCTTTCATCAATTTTGGAAAATCCCTAGCCATTAACTTTTCAGATATTGTGTCTGCCCTATTATCCCCCAGCACAAGTCTAGATATCTTCCAACCTTTCAGTTTACCAGCTTTCTCTTAAGCTTTGTCTATCAAAGCCATCTAGTAATTTCCTAATTTCAGTTATATTGTTTTTCAATTCCAGAATATCCTTTTTTATATAGTTTCCAGTTCTGTAATGAAATTTCTCCATCTTATCATTTAATCCATGAACATTTTAATCATATTGTTATATTGTCCCTGTCAGATAATACTAAATATCTGAATTTCCTGGGGGATCTGTTTCTGTTGTTTGCTGTCTCATTTTTAGTCAAATGTTCTTTTTTTTTTTTTCCTTTTTGTCTTTTTTACTGAACGGTAACGGGATCACAACCCTCGGTGTCGCACCCACACCGCGCTCAGCCAGTGAGCGGGAACCGGTCTCCACATGGGATCCGAACCCTCGGCGGGAGCACCTCCGCACTCCCAAGCAGCGCACTCTCCAGTGTGCCACCGGGCCGGCCCAAATGTTCTGCTTTTGCACTCATATTTTAACAGATTTGAAAATAAATTGTAGATAAAATTTGAGAAATTGGAAGATGTTCTCCTTCCTTCAAAGAGGATTTATTTTTGCTTCTGGCTGTCCACTAGATTTGAGGCTAGGCTTCAGTCCTCTTGAGGACAGGCCCATATCCAGTCCATCTTTATTCAAGTAACAATTCTTTTGGGTCCCAATAGAAAGCCTGAGGTGTTTTCCAGGCCCACTTTTACTTTTATCCTTAACTAAAGTTTTTGTTCCCAATGAATCTTCCAAAAATTCTGCTCAGCTTCTCAGCCATTGCCCTTGAATTAGCAAGGGCCTTGGTGCAGGGGGGGAGGGGTTCCAAATGCAGGTCTCACCTCTCTGGAATATTGGTCCTTGCTTTCTTGATAGCTCTCTGATGCCTTAATACATATATGTATATTCTGGCTTTTCTAGTTTTCTCAGCAGAAAGTTTGGTGCAAAACAAGCTAATCATCCTTTGCTCAATGCTGAATCTTTGCATGTCTTATTTGTATAATTCATTTTAAACAGTTCAAAGTCTGGAGTAGAATAGACTTGGGTTCAAATCTCTGTTCTGTTACTTACCAGCTGTGTGACTCCAGTCTAGTTATTTGACCTTTAAGTCTTAGTATTTTCATCTGGAAAATGGAAGTGATGGTGGTACCTACCTTGAATTGTTTTAAGAAGTTTTTCAAATGCAAGTATAGCATTTAGCACACAGCCAGGAATATAGCAAATGATCAAACGTTAGTAATAATTTTTAATGCATTCTAATTAATAAGTATTATCATTATGTCATTAGAAGGGATGGCATGACAGCAGCCTCTCTCCTCTGCACCCTCTGTGAGGGGCAGTTACTGGTAAAGACCCTACACAGGTCTTAATTTTTCCCACTTGCTTATACTATGGCATTGGAACACTTGGGTGGAATGGCTTACTGCACCATATGAAAAGAGTCAGAATTTAGCAGTAGAATCAAAGAATTAAGCTTCCTGAGCAAACCCCAGACTCATGAAACTGGTCCCCTCACCTAGAGTGAGGTTTATCCCCAGGTGTAGTAGAAGGACGGTTGCAACCACCAGGGTTTGCTCTGAAAGAGGGGAGAGATCTTTTGTTCTCCCACCCATCTCAGGGCTGAGACCTCACTGTGCTTAGGAAAAGCTTTCCACTCACTAAGAGTCCTGAACAGTAAAGAAGTCCCAGGAGCTTTGAAATAGGAACACTGAGTAATTATTCTGTCCTCTCTTTGTTAAAAAAAAAAAAAAAAAAAAAAAAAAACTTTATTTCAAAAATTCCATAGTATTTTTTAATAAAAGGCTTGTTGCTTTACTCCACAGTACTTACATTCCAGAAGCATTATCATTGATTTGTTTTTAAATGTTTTGTTTAAATATTGAAACATCCAAAATATTACTAATGTGTAAAATATAAAACACAACAAACCTGCTTTGTACCCACCATGCAGCAGGCTTCTGTCTCCTTCCCAGGTTGCAGTTCCAGTGTGTGATGCTGGCAATGCCACCTGTGGGAGTGAGCCAGCTGGCCAAATTGGGCATCCTGGGAACGACTCTGCAGTTGAGAACACAACATGCCAGAGCCTGGCACAGTTCTGCAGATGCTGCAACACCATTCCAGATACAACAGGCCCTATGGTCTGACTTACACCAGACTTACAAAAAGATGACATATAAATCAGCACACCGCAGTCTTTTAACAGTGAGGCAAAAACTGCCACTGGCACTGTACAACAGAGGCTCCAAACATGGCCTTTTCTCCCATTAATTTGAAAAGACTAAGTCCTTTCAATAATGATGGTACAAACAGCCAGAGGAACAATTAGAATACTGATGGGATGTGGCATTAAACCATGCCACCAAACTATGGTGCAAATGTCTCCAATTCTCCAGCCCTCAGGATCACCTTTTCCTTTTACCCACCCAACGTAATGACTCTCTCAAAAGTCTAGTCTTTATTGTGATGTGTAAGTAATGCGAGAAGTCCTAAGAAGAGTTTATATTCCAGAAACACATATTCTGGTTATTACCAGTCACCATTTGGCCTTGAGGCTGGAGTCTGGGCTTCTGTGCTGCTCTCTTTTGCCATCTGGAAGCCATCTCTAAGTTACCACTGCCATCTTGGCACTGTCTGGCCTCAGCATGGACACAACCCCTCCCTGAATCACCTAAAACACAGCTGACACTTGGCTGTAATTTTTGACAAAGGCTTACTGAAAGTGAGCCTAACATGAGGGAATTAACAATGTAGGGGTAATAATTAAAAGTGAGTAACACATTCCAGTGTTCTTAAAACCCGAAGCCCCACCACTTCCCAGAGGAATCTATGACTAGCATCCTTCTCCCTAGGCCCCAGCCTTCAGCTAGGATGCAGGGACCTGCTCGTCTCCTCCAGAGAGGTGTCCTCAATGCTGCCCCCCTATATGAATTCTACAGCTCCAATTCTCTTCTCTCCAGCTCCCAACAGAAGAAAAGATCAATCCCATAATTATCTCTGCATTCTTCTCTCCCCACCCTAACCCTGCTTTAGAATCTGACCCATGGAGCATTACTGCCAGCTTTGAGTTTATTTATTTAGCTCCGAAGTTAAAGTCCAGACCTTCCCTCTGGATGAAATGATTGCATCAGCCCTGAAACAAACCATCCCTAATCACGACCCAAACAGTGTTGAAATGTACCATAGCTCACTCTATTGAACATCTGCCAGTTCTAAATTTTCCTGTTACAAACAATCCAATGAACATCTTGAAAGATAAATTTCACACATGCATGATATCCTTTCAAACCTTTGCTGGTTGAAAGGGTATGCAGTCATTTAGCACTGAATTAATACCACGCACTCTTTAGATTAGGGATATAATAACGAGCATAAATATACTCTCCAACCTCATAGCCCTTATATATTATGGGAGAGACAAATAAGGAAATAAAGATAAACTGCAATGGTGTTAAATCCAAAGAAGTGAATTGTGCTTCCAGGGAAAAACTTCCCTAAGGAACTGGCAATTATGCTGAGATCTGATGAAAGATTAATTAGGCAAAGAAGGAAGGGACTGTGTGTGTTCCTAATAAAAAGAACAGCAATTTTGGAAGTCCTGGGGCTGGAAGCAGAGAGTGCTGGAATTGGAAGACAAGCCTAGCTAAAACAGAGGTATGAAGGGGAAGCTCAGATCAACAGGAGGCAAGGGCCCAACCTCTCAGGACTTTGTAAGCCATGTTAGTTAAACTGATCTTTATTCTAGGAATAGGATGACATTGAATGATTCTGTGCACATTTTTAACTCGATACTTGAAGGAGAGACTATATGGATGTAGGATGTATATTTTACATCCCCTATAGCTTCTTCAACACTGAGTGGCATCTCACCAATTTGACAGTTTTAACTACTACATGCTACATTTTTTTCATGTTTATTGCCCATTTCCTATTAACGGCAATCTTTTTTTAATTTTTATTTTTTTTACTAGACTGAATTTAAGACTTATTACCTTTTCTATCTTTCTTCCCTAATTGTTTGCCTTTACATTACATATGTCAAAACATTATATACACAGCAATCTTTTCTTTAGGAATTTTGCCACAAAGGTATTTTATCACCCCAATATTATGTAAGTATTCACCTATATTTTCTATTAGTATTTGCATGGTTTGATTTCTCATATTCAATCATGTGTCCTAACTGACATCTATAAATAGAAACCTAATTTTCTTTTCAAAGGATTAACCAGTTATCCCTTGAAATGTCTTCTACTCTGTTCTGTTATCTAATCATATATTCTTGTGCCAGTACCACATCATAATTTTATAATACATTTCATATGAGATAAAGCGCTCCCATCAACATTTGTTTCATTTTAGTTAGCTACCCTATATAAGAACCTTAGTCCTTTTTCTTATGAAATGTTAAATTAGCTTTCATGGGGATTTTTAAATAAACTACCAAGGTTTCAGACTACCTAAGAGATTTTGGAATGGAAAGAGATGAAAATGACCTTGAAGACTAGCAAACCTCCCAAACAACTACTGAGATTTACATAAATTTCTCCATGTAATGAGTACATTACTGAAGAGTCTGAACAAATATTCCATAAGACTGTTTATCATAATTGGCTCTTTATTTAAAAAATTACAGGGAGCAATTTCCAGCATATCTCATTTTATAAAAGTACTGCCTGTATCAAACGTTTTATATCACTGTTAATTCCATTGAAGAGCTGCCTTTTTTTTTTAAGGTACTAATTCCAATCAATGGGATACATGCCCTTAAAATAGAAAGTTTCTATTATTTATTCAAATGTCAAAATTAAGATTATTGAGAAGTTTATTGCTTCATGGCTGGGCAAGATGCTACTAGCACATTTCAGGTAAATAATATTCTTTATTAAAAACTATGAGGTCATTCTGTTTAAAACTTTCAGGGTAATTCACAGAAAATAGATATATTTATTAAAATTACACATTGAAGTGCTGGGCTACTAGCTATTGCCATTTATAAGTGAAGCAGCTCTTTAAAGAAGTAAGATGCACAAATAGGTCTGTTTTTGTATAGTACATATAACTGAAATGAATAAAACCTGGAAGACCAATATTGTTATACCATGTTGTTAGGACCTTAAAAAAAAATCACACATTTAGTAGTCCATTTGTGCTTAAAATATTCATATGCATGAGAAGCTTAAAGAAAAAAACACCTCTGTACATGATGATCAAAAGAAAGTTATAAATTTTTTTGAAATTGCACTGTTATTTAGCCACCTTCCTAAAGTCAGACCCTCCTTGGAAGGCAGAGTTTTTCAGGTCTAATTGGCAACCTGGGGAGGCCCCTCTGGTATCAGTGAAGTAAAGAAGGTGGTGATAAAAGACCACGCTGAAGCCACTAGTCCCGGCCTCTGCACCACACTGGCGTCTTCAGCAGCATCTTCTCCACTCTCATCTTCAAGCCCATCATCCATAAGACGCTCCTTTCAAAGGAAACAAGAAACATACTCCTGGGTGATTTGAAGAGCTAGCGTTAACTCAGAATAGAAAAGAAGAAAATTAAGTTCTTCTTTGTAGAAAGAAGGAATATGAGCATGTAATAAGGAAATGGTACATAGGACTCTTAAGTCAAAAATTGGTAAATTCCTTGGTATTCTAGTTTAAAGAAGACAACTGCCAATGTAATACAATAAATTTTGACTGTGCATAATTTTCTTTGTAGCCTATTTGCAGAAAGAATTCTTTAATTCTTTAATTTTAATTCTTCTTTTAAATTCTTTAATTCTTCTCACTCACTTCAAATAGACTAGGTATCATATTCTAACTTCTCCGAGATGAAACCACTACAATTTATACATTAGCTTTTTTCTTCATGAGCTGTTCCACAAGTACTTATGAAACATCCAAGATATTTTTTATCATATTGATCCCATACAGTGCTGAGGAAATATTTACATTTAACGTATACAAAAACCTCAATGACATACCATTTCTTCCAGCTCTAGATTGTTTGCATTTTGCCCATCATTGTTAACTTCAGCATTATTGTTGGGAGCCTGGTGCAGACCTCCTTCTTGCCTAAAAGGAAACCATCCAGCTTGGTGTCTGTTCAGTAAATCAAAGAGAAAAGGAAATAAGTCACAATTGTTTTTATTTGTAACACTATAAAACATTAGTGTCCTATAAGAGAAAAATGATTACAACTATAATAAATGAAAAGGCCAAATCTCCCACTTCGGGCCAGAGAACTACCCATTTCAAAGCAACGACAACAAAATAAGAACCAATGCAAATGTGAAAGTCCATCATGGGCTTAACTGGCTCTACATTAGATAATAAGACATATCAGGAGTCATAAAATCTTTTTTGGTGTTTTTCAAAATGAAATACAACTAGATATTTGTTTGCCCCTTGGGAAGAAGGGGATGCGGGGGAAAATTAGTCTACTTACAAATAAATCTGACCTATACCTATAGGACTTCTTGGTAACTAACATTCAAAAGGACATTCTTAGACAGGAGTGCATCATATACTTCTTCAAGTTGTAAATAATCAACATGAGCATGTCTCACTGAATTAACAACTTTTGTAAAATACAGTAAACAAAAAATTTGCTTCTAAACAATTCCAATAAACATTCTTACTCAACATAACCTGCCCTTGCTTTTGGTATTAGAAACATGCCAGATATCTGAAGCCCAGCATTCATATTCCTTCACTCAACGTTCATGATAGACTACCCTATGCCGTGATCTGTGCTGAACAGTTTTACAAAGAAATTAAGAGAAACAACAAAAAGTTAATGAACATCACTCACAAATAAACCAGTAGCATGGCTCCCATTACCATGATAAACCGACTAAAAGAAGAATAGAAGTATACAATGCTAAGGAGAATTGCAGCTCGTGAGAACGTGTACATCCAGTCTAGCCAGTCCCGATTGAAGTCTTCTTCGTTTAGCACTGGACCTCCCTGTGCATTCATTTGAACATTCTCATTCATGGGTCGATTTTCTTGGGCCACTAGGTTTGGAGCTGGTGGGGGTTCTTCTCCAGGAACATGTGCCAAATTTAGAGGCTGTGAAGCGGTAGGCTGAGCTGAGCTGGCATTTGATGTGGCCTGAGCTGAAACTGCAGCTTGACTGAAATATTCACCAAAATAAATATTAAAAAGAAAAAAGCTTTACCATACTATATTATATGTTTTAAAATTTCCTGGGGAGTCTTATGTATTTTTCATAAACCTAATATGAAATCTCACAACTCCTGCACCATATTTCTTAGGTAAGCACAATTCCAGTGGAAAAGTGGAGCCAAGACTGATAGCAGGTGTAGCTCAGGAAAGGATGTTCTCTTAGCTGATGGTCTAACATGGCAGGGAGACGTGGAAGCAGTAAGTAATCACTCTTTTCTCTTTCCCTTAATTACCTCAGAATCGAATGAGAGTAGCTACAACCCTTTTCACTAACTGCCCCTTTTGTTATTCTACATGGGACGAATAACCCCAAGTCCACCGCCTCTCCCTTAGACCCATGTTTTGAAAGATTTGTCTAAAACTGTATATAATTATTGCCCTGCATGTCTATCATCAGTGAAGCATGATTTGTATTAGTATTTTAAAATATTAAATATAATCTCAGATAACAACCCCTCGACCCTAATCCCGATTTTTGGGAACCCCAACTGGTGACCACTGGTCTTCTCAACTTAGAAAGAGTTGTGTGTGGTTTTGAATTTTGCTTATAATTTGATTGCTTAAAAGTCAGAGCACATTTTCCTGTAAGAGGTTCCCAGTAAAATAATATATCTTAGATTTGCTTTAAATTATCCAGCAGAAGGGGGAAAGTTGCAGAATAAGATTGACATGAATTGATAAATGTTGAAGCTGGGTGATGGGTACACGGGGATTCATTTTATTATTCTCCCTACCTTGTTATATGTTTAAGTTTCTTTACAATAAAAAGTTAAACAATCAAAATAGCAAAAGAAAAAGAAGTGTTTCTCAGCTAAAAAACCCTATTTAAGCCAATATGCTAATATCTTTTATCTATACAGGGCTTTTTAGTTTCCAAAACACTTCTTACGTCACAGATATTCTGATACACAGGTGACTTATTTCACTTTAAAGGTGAGAACTTAGAGCTCAGAATTTAAGTGATATACATAAGATTATATGATTTAGTAGCAAGCTATGATAAGCCCCACTTATTTTACATGGTTCTCGTGAGGTTTACAAATAAGACAAGGGGTGCTTTAGCATCCAGCAGACTACTAAGCACAAGGCAGTCACTCAAATAAGAACCATTAGCATGGCAACATATAAGGTACAAATAAAAAGAAAAAACCTGCTTGGAGCCAAGGGGTTATAGAAGAGAACATTAGGATATGAGTTCATTATATCAACTCCCAAATTAACTTACTTAAGATAAAAAAGAAAAAGCAAAAAACACAGTCAGTATTTTTTAAAAATGAACTCAGATTAACTTACTATTGCATACAACAGGTTAGCTTTACGGGGGAAGGCCTGGAGAAAGGATAAGGATATAAACTTCACACTACAGGACTGACTCAAGTATGTGTTCAGAAAGTTAAACTGGCAGTAGCATTAGAAAATATAGTAAAGAGCTCAAAAGGAAAAAGAGCTATTAAGGTAAAGTGGTTTTAAAATAAGAAAAGATCTGGGCAAAATATTGGAAGTAGTATACAGGGGAAGGACGGAAAAGCTCTATTAACTCATCTTCACATGAGTTACTAGGTTTGGGGATAACAGAAGCCAGAATAAAAGCTGATTAATGTTAAGAGCTTAGATGATGATTAAAAAGAGAAATAATATCACAGACAAATAAGTTGGAAAGGAGAACACACTTAAGAGAATGGAGAAGTCAAATTTTAGACATACTGAATTTGGGGCAAAGGCTAATTTTCCATGGAAATCTTCCAACAATTAAGTATAGTTACACAATGAAGCATGTGAGATGAAGAACTGGGAGCCATCCACAGGGAGCTAACAACTAAGGCCATGGAGGAAAGAAACCCAAGAGGACTGCACAGGACTAAATTCTGTCTTCTCCACCAACTACGAGTGCCATGAGGCACATGGTAAGTACACAAATATCTCCTGAACTGAGCAAGGAATGTTACTATTTAGAAGAAGAAAAAAATGGACTATCAAAGGACACAAAAAGTGATCAGAAACAAAAACAGTGAGGAGGATAACAGAATCACAGGAACAAGGAGAGGACATTGAAGCTAGTCAGTGTCAAATGAAGGCACAGGAAATCCAGAAGAAACTGTCCTCAGTGCTAAGATGTTCCATGCTGTCCAGAATCAAGACTTATTAAAATACTGAGAGTCCAGTAAGCATATGAGCCACACCCAAGCCCTACCTAAGACAGGGCCTCCCTGTCATGATTTGTTCTATCCCCTTTCTCATTTGACTTGCTATCTCTTCATGAAGGTTTGATGTCTTCCACTGAAACTTTTCTAAGTTTTCTCCTCTTGAATTTATAAAATTTATATTAAAGAAAGCATCTGAATACCACTAGACATAATTAAGGGAGAAAGGGAGGAGCCAAGAGTAGGTTTAGTTGATATGAAGTGGAAGTGATCCCTTCTTCCTTTGGCCAAATCATTTAAAATAAAGTATCTGCTGAGATGTTTCTGAATTCCTTCTCATAATAATTTTAAATAACGAAAGACATCAGCAAATAAAATCCCAAATCAACTCACTTAGGACAAAAAAGAAAAAGCAAAAAACACAGTGAATATCAAAAAACGTGAGCTCAGATTAACTTACTATTGCATATAATACTGTTGAGCATACATCTGTTGCCACCACAGCATCTGCAGTGGGCTGAGAGCAGGATACACTGGGAGTCCAGGTGGAACGGCTTGCCCAGGAAACTGGTTATCTACATTTCTGCAATAAAGAAATAAAGAAATGAAGTCTTTTCATATTCTAAGTTAAAAGCATTTCTCTAAATTTTCATAGCTGAACTACAAGTCAACCGCTGACAAAATGAATTTAGATCTCACCTGAAAAGAAAAATACTTATTTTCAACATCCTTCAAATAATACAATATGTCTTATACAAGTTGATCCTGAACCCAATAACCATAAAATAACTAACATTTCAGCATGGCTTCAATGGGAAAACAAGCAAGTCATTCACAAAATGTGCAGCAAGACTGAACATTTGTTATCTTCTCATTTCAGCACATAAGGCCCAAAATACTTTCATTTAAGAACCAAAGCCCTAAAATAAACTTCAAGACAAAATATTTTGAGGAACTGGAGTACTAGCCAAATGATATTTACATTAGTAATGAAATATTATTAAAGATATGGCAACTATTAGCTGTAAAATTAAAAAACAAACATAAAAACCTGTAAAATATTCTTTACGGAGCCAAGATTAGTAAGTTAAAATTCTATTAATTCAGTAAAACTTATGGAAGGTCACATTTAACTTTTCTATGCCTCAGTTTCCTCATTTCTAAAATGGAGCTCATAATAGACTCTTCCTCATAGGATTGTTACTCTGTGTATTCAGTACATGTTAGCCAGTTTTATTTCTACTCTGAACAAGACTCCAAAGTGTGTAGTGCAAGATTTGGAGAAATTCACAAAAGTCAAGATAACTACAGGGATAAATATACAAGTAAATGCAGAATTCGTGAATTTGCTAACTCTCCTCTTCTTCATATTACATAAATTTTAATTTTAGTTGATATTAGTTTGGTCTATCCAGCATGAGACAAGAATAATTAACAAATTCATTAACTATAATTTTCTATTCTAATAGCTGTTTACACATACAATTAGTAATAATTGATTACAGAAACCTAACTTAGAAGAGCTCGGGGGCCAAGACTTGTCAACAGACTGTATGAGGAAACCTGACACTAGGGAAGATACCAACTCCCCTACACATTATCTGAACTTTCCTTATCCTTGGAGGAGTAACAGGAGCCATACAGTGGCTCCCCTTCTCAAAAGATCCTTCAACTGCTTGAATACAGCTCTCCCCCTTCCCAAGATTTGCCTCATACACAATTAAGAAGGAAAAGCAGAGAAGGCTTCATTCGAGCTCCTGCCAGCAATTTAAAGTCCTGTATGAAAAGGGAAAGAGAAACTTAACCCAGCTATACCTATAAAAAGATGTCAATTAGTGATCAAACCTGGAGAGAAATCCATATCACCTGGGCACAGAAGTGTTATAAAAGATTTGTATAAAGAACTCAGCATTTATAACAGAAAGCTGATGTATCCCTGTGTAAATCTGAAAACTACCTAAATCATGTATTACCAGCAATATGAGGCTTGCACCTAGGTGTATATTTTAAATTTTATTAGAATTCCCAATTAGGAAAAAACCCATCCTCCTAGAAAGTAGAGCTCCACCAATCCCTACCATTAATAAGAAATATAAAAAGAAGATAGATTTAGTCTGCTGTTTTAATAAAAACAAAACTTAAGGAAAAAAATAATAAGAAATATAATCAAACAAGGCTATTACTTCAACTGTAAAATGGGAAGGCTAGACTTTGTCATGGTTGAAAGGTCAAAGGGAGAAAAGGCCACTAATAATCACTTTTAAAAATTCTACAGCTTCCCACCTCGCCCTACTGCAGCCCAGAACATAAGGAGAACATAAAGTGATTACTAAAAACAGGTTGCCAAAATAAATAAAACACCCTCAATAATTCTGATATGCTTCCTCCATTTTTCTCCAATAAGTTAAAAACTAGTGGATTATATAACTGCTAAAGTACATTCTAGGCCCAAGATGACATACTATAATTTTAAATTGTCCTTATTACCCCTCAGACAAGATGGTACACATTTGGCACTCTCCAGAAAACAAGAAATAAAGGATTTATTTGATACTAAATTATACAGTTAAAATTAAAATATATAGGAATAATCAGTGAAACATATTACATAAGAATTTAGTATATTTTAGAGGATGCATCATTATGCAACTGGATAGAGAATTATCATTTGATGCTAGGAAAAGTGATTACCAAATTGGTGATACGGGGAAGGGGGTTTAAAAGCTTCACCTCATTCCATACATTCAAATAAGCTTCAAGTGGTCTGAAATAAAGTATTAAGAGTTAAACCACAGTTAATCTAGAAGAAACTAGAATTATTTAACAAACCTTTGGAGGGAGAAGGACTTTCCTAACTTATAAGCAATAGAAGAAAGCACACAGAGGAGTCAAGATGGCGACGGGTCAGGAGCAGGGGCGCCAGAAGACGGCGTGAGCCTGAGAGGTGTGCGCTGTGCTGCCAGAGTGCTACTTGCATTTACAAGAGCAACAAAAAATGAATAAGTCATTGATCAGCTAATCTACAACTATAAAAAAGCAACTACACACTCGAGGTTTAGGGCCGACATAAAAGAGGATTACTGGGAGTGCCTGAGACGCACTGCGGGACCGAGTGAGCAGCCCGAGGCAGCAGTGGCTGAGAACTGAGATGGCGACAATGCGGAAACGCAGAGGGAGCCACTCGGCAGGCTCAGCTCTGTGAGTGACCCCCAGCCCGGCCCTGCTTGCGGGGCAGACGCCCGTCTGGCTTCCGCCTACCCCACTGGGCCAGTCACTGGCCCGGGGCTGCCTCCATTTTCTCAGGTGGGGGCGGAGCAGGCCGGCTCGGCCAGGCCCACCCTCCTCACCCGGCTCAGCTCCTCATTGAGCCTTCCCACTTCCTTGCCCCAGTGCGGGGCCTCCCGGGGCCTGCGGGCCGGCCTCCCACCCCATAACCCCCGCAGTTCTCTGGCGGGGCTAGTGGCAGGGGGAGAACCGGCCAGCACCAGGAGGACAGGGAAGAGCGGCCGGGGCAGATTATCACTCGACTGCACCCTGGGCTCCGCCCACAGTAAACTTCCTGTTACAGGGAGGCAGATACCATTTCTGTGGCCATCAGTTCGGAAAAACGCCTAACCAATTTCTGATTAGGAAAAGTGTGATCGGAGTGCTCCCGAGCTCACTTGAACCTGCCGGTGAGCTGACTGTGGGCAGGCGCCGGAGTCAGTCCATGCCAGGGGGATTCAAAGAGGAACTGTATGCTGCGGGCTCCTCCCCCGAGGAGCTCATGCTCCAGTGTGGGAGATAAGACAAGCACACAGATAACTGCAATAACAGGAGGAAGGTGATTAGTCCCGAGAAAGCCCTATACAGTGCTGCAAAGCCACCCAGAGCGACCGGTCATCTACGACTAGCAGAAAACTGAAAGACCTCCTGGGCAGGACAGAGCCGAGCAGGGGCTTGAAGGCCCGGCTGATAGACGAGGATTGCAGAAGACACGCCCCAGCCTAGTCAAGAGCACACAGAGCAGGGAGGTGGCCGGTTAGGGAGGCGGAGACTCAGCAGAAAACACACACCCTGCGGGCCACCTCTGCGAGGTCCAACAACCCTGCCTAGTGCACACAGAGCGGGGAGATGTCCAGCTAGGGAGGCGGAGATTTGGCAGAAAACACACACGCTGTGGGGCCACCAGGGCATGATCCAGCAGCCAGGGCCAGAACACACGGAACAGGGAGAAACTCCCACACGGGAAGTGGAAGCTCAAAAGAGACCACACACCCTGTGGGGCCACCAGGGCATGATCC